GAGATGTGAAATCCCATCATTTTGGTGGGAATGAAGGAAAAAACTTTTTTAACAGAAAAAAGATATGTTTTGCTTATGGTATTTTTAAGAGTAAATATTAGACCCATGACCCATTAATAAATCATTAATTATTGAATTACATATTAACAAAATAATTTAATTAAAAAAATACTTTATAAATAAAATAAATTATTAATTAAGTCATAAGTATTAATAAAGTAAAACATTAATAATAAATATAAACTAATAAAAGTTAAAGTATTAATTCTTAGTTAATAATTGACTAAATAATTATCAAGATGAATTAATTAACTAACTAGTTATAAAATTAATTAATACAATATTAATAATTACACACTAATTATTAATTAATAGTGAAATATAAAATAATAAAAATTATCAATTACCTAATTAATTAATTGTTATTAGGATTGATTTTCCCACTATTTTCCCTCATGCAACCAAATAATGGAATGTGAAAATTTCTCATCAATTTTCCTTTTCTCATCCCATCCTTTCCAATTCCACTGAAATCTTTCACTCAAACCAAATACAACCTTGTATCGTGCAAGAGTCCTCTTGACAATCCAAACTATCAAACACACCCTCACATGTGTAAGTTCAGTCAATAATGTTTAAAACTATGTTGCTTTTCCCCTTAAGAAAGAAAGATTAATGCGGCAATTCATTTGGTGGAGGAAAGGAGAGTAATATCAATACAAAACATTGGGATGTTCTGTAATGTGGATGAGAAATTGGTGGATGTGGATTAGTTACACCTTGTGGCAGGGACCAATCCACATCACACTACACCATTGTCCATAGTTGTTCTAAATTATGGACAAAATTGTGTGGACATAAACTATCCACACCCACATGGGCATTCTACACTCCACATCACACCAATTGATTTCATACATGTTATGTATAATTTGTGAGATGAATGGTTGATCATGAATGAAAAAAATCATAATTTAATCCAAAAATAATTTGAAATAATAATATAAAGCAATAATGGATAAAATAAAACACCAATACAGTTATTAATGAATATAAAATAAATATATTTGCCATTTATGTCAATTCTTAAAAGATAAAATGTATATAATATGAATTTATGTAATAGTATAAAACCATTTTGATGAATAAAAAATGGTGATAAAATAATTTAAAAAGGTTCAATGTTTAGAAAAATCAATATAATATTATCTTCAGCAATAAACAATTTAAAAAGAAATTTAATTATAAATAAAAATATACTAAAAGATTAACAAAAATGAGGGTGGTTAGGTCGGTGTAACGTGTGTGTTACACCAAATCCTTCCCACAAACTGTCCACCACCACGGTGTGGCCCATCCACGGTAAAATGTTGTTGCCGATAAATTGAGGTGTAGCCTGTCCCTATCCACGCTATTTTGTGATAGGGACAGTCCACATGAAACCAAACACCCCATTCTATCGTGGACGGAACCATTTTCCATCTAATATCAAACGCCCCCTTAGTTGGATCTTTGACAGTGGCAAATGGCGTACTTTCCAGTATTTGGTTAGCAAAACAAGATCAAAGGCCAAAGAACGAAAAATTGTATTTTGTCGAATCACCCTCGAATGAGAAATCTCTCTTTTTAATGGCTTCACAACTCTAAAAATAATCTCATTTTTTATTTTAATTTTTTTTTGATGATCTACATAAAAATGTGGGAATTTGTCAAGCACTTGAAAATATATATTGTTGTAGGTAGCCATGTAATACCATGTAATTCCTGATAGAAGTTTCTATTGTAGATGTTTGGGAATTAATGTGTGAATCCACCTCCCTTCTTAGCTGTCTTCATAAGTGCTTAAGACCAAGTGTGATAAAAATGTAGGGCAAGGAGCTAAAGACAACAGGGTAGAAAAGAAAAGAAGGTAAGGGGTCAAAGTGAAGTCAGATAACTCAGATTGTAAATCCCAAGTTATTTCCAAATACAAACAAAAATGAAGGAATATGGAAAGATAACCAAATAAAGGGAAAAATGATACAGCCTGTGGTGAAAAAGGCCAAACAAGAAAGAAAAAGTAGAAGATTGGAATAAGAAGGCCATTGTATTAATACACGCTGGCTCTTTATTGAACAACTCTGGAATCGTGTTCCTTTTTCTGCAGGGAAGGTTAGACTGCTGAAAGTCATTTTAGATTGGGCTGATTTAGGATAGCATGGGGACCTTTCTGAATTTGGGCTTTCGAGAAAAGTATTAGTCTGGAGAGAGAATTTTGAAATTAGCAACTCAAATTTCAAAAACAAAGTATTTTGAAATTAAACTTTGTAGTATCTTCTCATTCAATGGCTGCACTAGATTAAGAAGAAAAAGCAATTAGTTAATTAGTTAAGTAAAAGCTCTATTAGTTTGTCTTTTCTTGAACTTGTGAAAACCTTTTTGCTTTTGGTGGGTGGAAAGTGGATGAGGCTAGGTGGGTCTAACAGGGAACTGGTTCAAGAAACAGGGGGAAGCTTTCTACATGTAGATAGGTGAGGACACATGATGAGATGATTTGAAGGAAAGAAAAAAGAGAAAAGACTGAAGATTGGCAAAGCTCAACAAGATTAAGACAGTGCCCATAATAATAGAGCTTCTTGAGGTAGTCCGGGCCTCCCAAGGACAATTATTTTGGTTGATAGTATCTGCAATGTCCAAGAAGCCACTGTTATTCATGGGTCCACAGAAATCTGCTTTTCACTAGTTGGGTCGCACCCAAATGCATCAGTGTCTCGTCTACAGGGGGAGATAGTACTGACCATTATATGGGTCCCGCATGATTTTTCATCTCTCTCTCTCCATTTTCTTGCTAATTAGTTTAAAAAAGGCCTATTTGGAAGGACAAAAGTAGCCTTCTTGGTATCTTTTTATTGTTATGTTCTACAAGCATGCATGGAAGAATCTGTCATAGAAAAAATGTTTGGATGGTTTCATTTGTAACTTCTTTGAAAAACCAAGGCTTTAAACTGTTCTATGTGATCAATTTGCAGTTGCAGCAGAAATTATCCAAAAAAAAAAAAAGAAATTTGCAGTTGCAGAAGATGAGATCCCATAATCATATAAACTGCCTCAAATCCTAATGATCCTTGAAATGAGGGAGGCGATGATAGCAGCGTCCACTAGCAATTTATGCAAAAAATTTGGCACCACAAAGTTAGGGTATGCGGTAGGGTCTAAAAGTATCAATATGATTTGGTTAGTACACTTGGATAGGTTTTGAGGTTAGTAGCATGTGGCCAATGGCACAGGATCAAACTTGCGAAATTGTTTGCTCTTTATGGTATGGGCAGTGGACCTCACGTGCATTCTACTTGCTTCATCCCTAATTCCCATTAAAGAACCATATCTCATATAAATTGTATTTTATGTTTAATTTAATAATATATTATTGTAGGTAGACATGTAATTCCAGATAGAAGTTCATGGAGAGAGAATTCTAACCATCTAATCATCATCATTTTATTGTACCATAGATAAGTTATCCATAAAACGAGTTGAAGGTGAAAGCTTTGACCATCTTTTCACTCTTTATTCAGTGTAAACATTAAACTAGAATTTAGGGAGAATGACTGTTCAGCCCATATTAAAATTTTTAATTCCATCGTACAGGTGGGATGGATGCTGACCATGGATTGATGCCAAATCTATGGGCAGGCTGCGGTTTATAGGAAGAGGGGCTACCAATAGAATATGGGGGACTGTAATTTCAGAATTCTGTTGTGGATTGCAGTGTACTCCGTAGAATTTATTATCATCATTTCCCATGCCATACTGTTGGATTTTAACCTTCTATAAATATCCATATGTATGACATTCGGTTTTTAATTATAGAGAATTGTGTGATGATTTTGACATGTGGGTAATTCTCTAATTAAAGATATGTACAGAATATTACAATTTTAATATTTATTACATGGTTTTCAAAACTGGACCAGAAAACCGGTGACCGGTTCCGTTTTCCACAAAAATCAGATTTCCCCCCCAAAACTGTTGATTTTGGTCAGCGGACTACTGAACCGGGCGGTAAATCGTTTGAACAGTTTTGACTGTTTTTTATTTTTTTGTCAGACCGGACTGAGAATTCGGTTCAAACAATTGGACCGTTCGACTCGGTAACAGGACCCCTGACTGGTTCGGTCACCGGGTCGGTTTTAAAAACCATGATTTATTAAACTTAATATATTTTATTTCAAAAGTTTGGTTTATTATTTTAATCCTCTTTCGCTATTTGATGGCTGTTATTCACCTTGCATTTGAGACCTATGGCTGTGAGGAATGCATTGCTAGAGGGTTGTTTGATGACAGCCCAGCCATGCCTCCCCTGTTTCTAGGCCATATGATCCATCTTTAAACTTAAGGCATGAATGCACAAATCCAAATACGTTATTTTGGTTGTTTTAATGGGCTATGGGTGGTAAGATAAACTGATTTGATGTATTTGTAAACTCTGGTTGGTAGTGTGTGGGTCAAGGTTTATGTTTTGATGAAATTTTTTGTTCTGGTTTTCCATGAGATGCATTGGAACTTGCAAAATTGAAAACATCTTAATATTCTCTTCTTTGTGCAAGTTTGATGGTAGGGAGAAGAACCAGTTTGTGAGTAGAGTACGTAATGGCAGTGTGGTTATATGGTCTGGATTAAGGTCTATTTGGGCTTCGCATCACTTTTATGTTTGTTGAAAAGGAACTGATGAGGTCTGAAGATGGTTCCAAGGACAATAGAAGTGATGGTTCTGACTTCTGAAGACAAGTCGAATAATCACAAGGTTCCTTATAATCGCTTTTTATTAGGGTGGTGGTCATGGCTGCGAAGTGTTGCAAGAGAAGAAACTTCCTTAGACTTGCAGTCACTAAGCTCGCTCCTAAAACCTACAATGCAAACAATGACTAGTTATCTGAATTTCGGTTTACATTTGACCAAAGTATTACTTTGATGTAATTTTTCGTTTTTCTTAACCATGGAGTTTTATAATATGTGAACAATTGAACTCAATGAAAATTAAGTTGACTCCATTTTTTTGGTAGGAGATCCAAACTCCCAATTGACAGTCTTCACAGCTGCTGGAGCTCATGTTCGGGAACAGTAGAATGAATGGGCTTATACATACCAAATACTCGATGTTTATGTCTCCAAATAAACCATATTCCAAGAGCAGATAAACAAATAACTAACGTAATAATAGCTCCTATTACCATCGCTAAGTGTTGCTTCCACCATTTCCTGTAACCAGAAAGAAAACAAAATGAAAAACATAACACAGCATTAGTTACCGACAGACAGAACTACAAGCCTTATTCCAACTACATCTGGTTGGCTACGTGAATCCTGTTTCACCACCATTCTGTTCTGTTTATTGTTATATCCATTATTAAATTATTAATTCTTAAATCATTTCTTACTACTTCAACCAATGTCCTATTTAGTCTGCTTCTAGTCCCCTCAACTTACAACAGATCATTTCTTCTTACAAGTGCTATAGGTGGTCAACCAAACCATCCTAGTCTATTTTATCTCATTTAATCACCCATTGGAGCTATTCCTGAGTTCTTTTTTCATTTCTGACCCCATCCTTTTTGGTTTTTCCACTCATCCATCTAAGCATATGCATTTCTGCAAAACTCATTTTTGGACATGTTATTTCTTGATTGCCTAACACTCTTACTCCATAGAACATTGTTGGTCTTACAATTATTTTATAGAATTTTCCTTTTTAACCTAAGTGGTATTTGCCTATTATATAAGACTTTGGATGTACCCCTCTGTTCTTCCCATCCTGCCCTAATTGTACAGGTGACATCCTCCTCAGTCTCTCCATTGTTATGAATCATCTTGTATATGATGTCTTACACTGTTATCATAACAGGAAATTTTCAAATTATGCATCTATTCTAATCCAAGTCTTGTACATTTACCATGTGAAAGAAACAAAAAACCATAAAAGTTACATGCAATAAGAATATTATAAGGAGTGCCACTTAACAGGGACTATCACTTACCAAAACTAAAACTTCATTTCTAAAGACTTCCTATGCTTGATTAGCATGTCAAAGCATAAGTCACTTGTATCTAGCATGGAGATTATACTTTCTTATCTATAATCTTCAGAGTTGATCCAAGGTGCATCATGTTCATCGAGGGCAAAACATGTATGCAATTTAGGGGACTTGACCCAGGAAGCAACACAATCCAAATCATATAGAAGTCACACAGACACGCACACAAGGAGTAAAAACAAAAAAGAAAAACCAAAAAGAATAGTCTCCTACAAACCATCCTAAGCTCTATAATCAACTTATAAATTAGAAAACCCTTGCTACATAAAAATACTCAAATATAGATACCTCAACCACCAGCTCAACTATAGTTAATTTGCTCACCACCTACCAATTCACAAACTGGTTTATTACAAACCAATTAACAAGTTGATTCATACAAGTTCCAAAAAAATCAAGCCTCATAACTGGGTGACTATGGAAAGACAATACCAAATAAAAGGTAAACTTTTTTTTTTTTTGATAACTATAAAAGGTAAATTTATTTAACATGTTTCAAAAAAAAAACCTAAAATGTAGGGAGACCAGACCAGATATCCCGATTTGAATCAATTGAAGAAGAGAAATTGAATATAAAGAAAAAAACATGTGCCAATATCTACTAACATATGTAATTTCTTTAAATACCTCACACCATAATTTCATGGATTACCATTTGTTGGATTACATAAAATATTGAACTTCATAATTCATAAAATTACAAAACTACTTATAGCTACAGGAGTAATTCAAGCAAAGGAAAAACATATTTTTACCCTTTCAGCACAATAGCATGTTATGATTAAGCTATAAAATTTAAATCCTAAAAGTCAAATACAGATGGTGTTTGGTTATATATTCCAGATCCCAATTCTACAACTATCCCAATTAAATAGCCTTCAAGTCTCTTTCTTTCCACAAAGAAATCGAAACGGATCTTTTTATTTTTATTCTTTTGAAATTCCACATACTGTAGTTGGTTCCATCAAACTTCACTGGAATAATATCCATCTTTTCAGCCATTTCAATTAAGAAATAGTCCAGAGATTAAAATAACAGCACTGATATTTAATTTTCAAGGTCGTTAGACCACTTTACTTGATCCAGAGACAATTTAAATACTAAAATCAATATCGCAGCATCCAAACAAGGGAATTTCTCAGAAGAAGAACCCTTGACAGCAAGGCCGAAGTAAGCAATATAGAGAAACAACAGAGAAACCAGGTCCAGAAGATATGTATAATCAAACAACTTTAATTGGACAAGCCACAGAAATGAGCCACCCTATAGAGGAATCGAAATCTTCCAAGATATTACCCAAAACAAATTCAACCAGGTAGTAAACAGTGTTGATAGTCCAAACCAGTAGTGTTCTAGGACTGTTGAACTGAGAAGATTAAATACCCTCCAGAACTGATATGAACCTCAACCAAGCAACTTAGGAGTAAGAATACCCTGGGGGCACCAAATCTAGGGTCCCAAGGAGAATGAAACAGCCTATTGAGAAGAAAAGGGATTCACCAACTTGATATGTGAAGTTTTCCAAAAAAAAAGGGTAAAATACAAAAACCTCCCCTAAAGTTTTTGACAATCATAATTTTAACAAATACCTCCCCGGAACTTTTGAGAAATTCAACAAAAACCTCCCTTTCATCACTGTCCCAGACGGAAAATGTTAGATTGATGCACCAGTTTTTTTCCAAATATCCATTCTACCCTTTTATAAATTATTTTACATACAAAATTACTGAAATAATCCCATTTTAACTCAACAAAAAACATATTTCAGTAATTTTGTATGTAAAATTACTGAAATGATTGTTAAAAAATGGGGTTATTTCAGTAATTTTGTATGTAAAATAATTTATATAAGGGTAGAATGGGTATTTGGAAAAAACTGGTGCATCAATCTAACGTTTTCCATCTGGGACAGTGACAGAAGGGAGGTTTTTGTTGAGTTTCTCAAAAGTTCAGGGAGGTATTTGTTAAAATGAAACTATAGGGGAGGTTTTTATGATTGTCAGAAACTTCAGGGGAGGTTTTTGTATTTTACCCAAAAAAATTACTCAGTGCAGTTCAAATCAGCCTCCAAGAGGTTGCAAATGAAGGACTTAAAGACGGGAGTTGTAGCCTAGTGAAACTCCTCAGTCTGGAACAATAGCAGACAGAAATGAAGTGTTTGAAGCCTGCAAGAACACTTGGGAATGAACCAGTTCAATAAAGGAAGAAGAAACCTGCTGCTGCCCTAGAGAGGAGACCATAACTCCAAAACTTGTCCAATCTCAAAGAAAATTTCTGAGTAGGTGAAACTGGTCTGGGCAACACAGCCAATGAAGTTTCACTTCAAAAAGGTGCCTTCCAAAAGAGTTCTAAGAAGATTTCTCTAGCTGAAATCACAGGACAGAGTGACCTAGATTTAGGGTTGATCAAAACAACCCTATCTTCAGTCGATGAATCCAGAAATCAGCAAACCTTGAGAGATTAATGAGTGAACATGGAGCAAATACAGATTACAGACTACGGAGCAACCTGCTCTGATACCATGTCACAACCAGTTTGAACCAGAGACCACCAGAAATCAGGGGTGGTTCACCCGAATGAATCGGCCCCACCCCAAAGAGCCAGATACATACATACACACATACACACACAGAAAAGCCCTTACAGGTCTAAAGAAGAATACAACAAGAAAGAAACAAAGGATAGAGTACAACAGGGACTACAGTAATATAATACATCATTGTGACTCTTCACACTAACCAATAACAATAAGAAGTGATGGATAAACCATTTGGAATACTAATGTCAAAAAATAATATACCTTTTTCTTGGTGGTTCCACTTTCCAATCAACCAACTGATAATTTCCAAATGCATCAGGAAGATGCATATGATGTTCAGTTAACTGCACAATTATGCTCTGCGTATTTGACACAATTATCATGCCATATTTAATAGTTTTCTAATAGAAAATTGTGCAATTTGCAAATGCTCTCAGAACGGCAGAAAATCAATATTACCATTGCCACGGGATTAGGAATGTAATCAGCAGATTCTGCTGGAAATATGGCCCATCTTATTATAGAATCATTTCCTTTGCTGGAAAAATTCAATAAATGAACCTGAAGTCATTTGCACAGGGAAACAGTAAGATGACCATTAGAACCAATTATCAGCTTTCCCCACCCTTATGGAATTGGCTATTAAGATGAACTTCATATGCAAGCACTAAACAGTATATAAGATTACACATGACTTTTTAAAAATTCACATTCCAAGGTAGAAGTCTCCACCTGTGAAGTATTAACATCTAACTCATGTGCAATAAATTCTGCAAGTTCCGTGATGTGTGGAGCCATGTCTGAGTACTTGACACTCAATGACATATCAAACATTATTAGTCCAACTCGGGATTCACCTAATTGTCAAAAGTCACATAGAACTATTGTCAGAGAAATTTCCAATCAACTGCCAAATAGCAACGACCTTTAATATCACAGAGTTCATAGAAAGATGGCTAATACCTTATTGGAAATTCAAGTAGTTATGGTTACAATTCACAAGATTCATATGACTAAGACCACTCTATACTCTATAATACAACAGTGACAAAGGAACTATTTCCTAAAAGCCTGGACATGGATACAGGTATATATATCCCATTTGATATGCTTATATCACGCCTCTTATTTTGTTTTTGAAGCTAAACACCATTTCTCAAGACTCATGTCTTGCCAAATTGGCAAATTTAATTAAAGTTCTAATGTTGCAGATTTTGTATAGGATAATTTGTTTAGAATGCCATTTTAGTCATTTTAAGTATTAATGCTATAGAGTACATGTAAAAAAAGTGAATTTCCAAGTCTTATTTATTTTAATGCTATAGAGAACATGCTAATGCTAGCATGCACATGCAGTATACAATATTGCATCCTGTAAGTATTGTGTCCAACATTGGTATGCCAGGCATATACCAGTATCTGGGTATCATAGCTTAAGGAAGATTTACAGCCTAAAAGTAGAATAAGATAAGGCCTATAATAATAACCAAACAGATGCCTTTTTATCATTTGGACAAGCCTATCTTAGCAGTATTGATGATTGTCTGAAATTGCATATTTCATGCACATAATTTTGTGAAAGTTCTAAGAAGATGGTCTTTTCCTTCGGGGGTTTAAGAATAAGAGTCAAGTAGTGAATCAGTATGTCATACATACATGTAAGATATGTACAAGTATAAATGATATAGAAGTGTGACAAAATATACAGAAGGATACAGAATCTATGTGATAGTCTCATTCCAATCAGGAAAAAAATTGAATTTATGCTTTTACACACTTACACATTATTTTATGCATGCCATTTGGGTGTCTGATTCTTATGTTCAAGCATACTCTTAAGTAATTGAGGAACATGGATGAAACCTTCAACGTTTTAAAACAAATAATGTTGAATAGTTGATAATGTAGTGTTACAAAACCAGTGGGCATGGTTGGCCCAACAAGTAATCTCTGGAATAGTTCATAGAAATGGACCATGGTTGATCCACCTGCTCGAAAATTATGTATCATAAGGGTGGAATCTGGGCCCTTGTCTAGAAGCCTAGTTAGTTGAGGCTGGGCTGGGCTGGGCTGGGCAAGCAACTGACCTGGTCCTGTTTGGCCCAACAAGTAATCTCTGGAATAGTTCATAGAAATGGACCATGGTTGATCCACCTGCTGGGAAATTATGTATCATAAGGGTGGAATCTGGGCCCTTGTCTAGAAGCCTAGTTAGTTGAGGCTGGGCTGGGCTGGGCTGGGCAAGCAACTGACCTGGTCCTGTTCATGTGTGTTTGGAAAAAGTTGATTTACTCAGGTCAAGTATGGAAGCTTCCTTATATGGTTTAAAATATCTAAATATCTCCTTATATTTTCATGGAATATTTCCATTCGATGGGTATTGGCAAGTTATCAGTATTATCATTCGAGAACACAATTGACACTTTTTATTTGGCAGAGATCATGGTATTTGTACCAGTTCCCCAATGGAGGTGGGACCATGGAAGCACTTGCTTTTTATGGAGGGGTTTTATTTTGAGATAATCAAATATTATCATCAAGGGTGACTCCCATGTCTACGTCAACATACTGTTGGGCCTGTCTGATATTGGAGGCTATGATATACATTAGCCAAATACAGGAATATCTTTTCATCCCTTAAACATTATTCAGTTTTGGACTGTTCTAGATCATTTAGTGTTGCTGCTTCTGTTCAATTAAGAAACGAAATCATACCTGGAGAGTAGCTCCATACTGAACAATGTAATTGATGTTGAGTTGAATGGAATCGCCTAAGGGCTTAAAAAAAAATCATATCAATGTAAGGTTTTAATTTTACACGTGTATAGATATGATCCAAATAATTTATTTTAATATGATTCTTTTCTCTTTAATCCCCTTGTTTTTCAAGTTCATCATTTATGGATGACTTTTCCTTCTTACTTTCCTTATGAAATATTTCTTAATTATACATCATTTAATATAGTTCTTATCTATACATAATTTAGAATATTCCTAATATTTTAATTAAATGTAATTTTATTATGTTATATTCAATAAAATATAGTTCAGGTTTTCATATTTTAAATTTGTTATAGAAGGATAAATAATGTAATAGCATAAGAAGCATATTTTGTATATGAATCATAAGTTTCATATTCACTATAACATAAAAAAATATTTATAATTAAAATATCAATGTTGGGTAGTATATCATTTTTTAAATTATTAAATTTATTCTAAGTGAAAGATGCGGCAATCTTGAAATGAAGTAATAATTTTAAGAGCATCATTTTTATCACTCTATAATGCTATAATTATTCAAAAGAGTATTTATTTTTATAATTTAAAAAATATTAACAAATATTTTCATAGAAGAATCATGACCATCCCAGCTAAGTGTGCCACATAGAAGAATCATGACCATCCACTAGATCAAGGACCATCTGAATAGGCCACGCATTGACTCTCACAATCCACATCAGCATATAGTCCACCTTTATTGTCTTTTTGAAGACTAAGTCCTCCAAACTTTCAATTAACTTAGAAAATGCTTATAAACAAGAGCTCATTTTAAGCATGTTGAGAGGTGTTTGGGGGAGAAACTTATTCCATGAATATAAGGTTGGCAAAGGAACACAGGGAATCCTTTTTGGCACCAAAATAAGTTACGATGTGAATGATAAATACTCCTCAGCCCTTTAGATTCTTCTCTAACCGATCTGACATAGAAACCTACTTCCTATACATACACTAATAAAAATTTGTTTGTCTGGTAGGTTTCACAAATATGATCTGGGTTCAAGCCTCAAGTGCCTTTCAATGCCACTTTCATTTAAGAGTTTTATGTATTAAACAAAAAAAAGACAACTAGATGTAAACACCCTATAAATGTAGAAATAAGTAACTATTAACAATAATTATATATAAAATATTAATATTATATTAAAAAATACTGTATAGTTATATACATTATAGCCCAGCCAGCTGTCCTACAGATTCAATGGCTGGATCAGGTCCAGGCCATTCCAATATCCCTTATATACAATGCAATTCTAGCCCAGAAAATTGCCCATGTAACTATGAGTGCAACAATTAAGAAACTAATTTACACTGGACCATTTTCTGGTTTTCCAGCAATCTATAATTCAATACAAGGATCTATCCATTCTACATATCCAATCTAGGTAGATAGACTAATTGTTACTTGTGGACTTGCAGCTTTGCATACCTGGAATAATATTGCTAGGCATTCCATTAGGGGCCAAACTAGGTGATGTTACTGTAGTTGAATTCTTGCTGTAGGAAATGGAAGGCGCAGGCGAAGAAGCATTAGAAATATGCAGTCTCTTCCACAATTCAGAACAATTAGTTTTCCAAAAACCAATCTTCTCATTCTCGCGGTCGTAAGTTACAAGAGTATTGCGGACAATGATCCCTATTGGTGAAAATCATCAAAGAAAATACCAAAAAGAATTTCAAACCTGGAGAGTGGCAATTTTTAGTTACATTTTATCAAAAAGAAAAGAAGGGCAGGGCAAAATTTTGTGTAAATACTAAAAACGTGCAACTCCAGCATAAAGTATGCAAAGAGTATCATTGCGGTATTTAAGCATTTTATACCCTGAATAGCATACACATACCCCCCAGGAGAGTCGTTGGATCTTTTCCATTCTGGAAAATACCCAGGCAATATGCACCGCGAACCTTTGAATGCTATGCCGAGAAATGAGAAGACAAAAACAAGACAGGAACATCAGATAATGAATATCAAGTTAGCAGTTCCAAGAACAAGTTAAAAGAAGTTTTGGATCTTTTAAAATTAAATCAACTTTGTGCCAACAAAAGAGACTGTCACTGTTATCCTTAAGAAGTTTAGGAGAGGAAAAGATAGTGAACAACATTACCCGAAACAAGTAGTTTTCTGGAGCTAGTGACAGCTTTTCACCATTGCTAAATACCATGTCAACTGCTGGGAAGGTCTTTGAGAGCAAGGAGACATCACTGCAGGACAATTCAAGAAGATCTAATTGTAAGACAAACATGAGTAAACAAGCAAGAGATGATTGTGAGGTTAAGCTTCTGATTGAAGACAGAAAATACCTTCCAGCACCAGAAAAGCAAATATCATTATAATTTGGATCAGGACCACGAATTTGTTTGAGGAGACGAAGTTTCTTAATAATCTGCAATTATAAACAAAATAACCATAAAAACGGCCATTTATAGAAACAAATACACCAGTGAAAAGAAACATTCTTAGATGAAAACTAGATAAATATGGATGGCTGAAAAGGTAAATGAGCTAGAATGATCCAAAAATAACTTGAAACTGAGATACAACTAAGCAACTAAGGGAGTTTTCTTGACACTAATATCAGTCCTATGAATCATGAAACCTGAGAAGTCTCTACTCACAAGTAATCAAATTGAGGAATTGAACATGTTCAATGCACTATGGTACAAAACAGGAGGAGCAGAACAGATGAGAGGGTGGCAGGGTGGAACACAAACTTCATTTATTTAGGTGGTTCAGTTCTGAAGAGTACATCCTTGAAGGGCCTTCTTTTAATAGATAATGATGAATTTACTAGAAAGATAGTGATTAGAGAACAAAGAAAAAGCTAAAAAAGAAACAAAATACTGATTCCATAAGAGCCACTAAGAGCTAAAGATCAAGAGCATCAATGCAACAAAAGAGAACGAGTTGACCCAATTCTGTAATCCATCTAAATAAAACATTCATTCAGGAGTTTCAGGCTTTGGATTTAACAAAGAAAAGAGTGGTTAAATTACAAATAGAATTTGGATAAACTCCAAATCATCAAAAGACAGGTTTGAATAAAACACTCATGATCAAGAAATAACTAATGCTAGAAATGGCACACATTTAAGGTGGACATTTTTTTCCTAATTGGCCATCCAAGTTGCGCAGTTGTCCAGCTGACAAAAGGAAAAATATATTTTTAGGGAAAATTATTCCACCACCAGTGCAGGAATAAGAATGAGGCTGCAGCCCATAGAGGCAATCTGACAAACATTGCCCCCACCAGAAACAATGTTTTTACCAAGACCCCCATTCATGTCATTGCTTGCAGACAAACAATGGAAGATGCTTTACATGTGGACCTGTTAATAACAAATTTATCGAACTACTAAAACTTAATGTTTTATTCCTATCTCTCTCTCACCACTTTGAGCTCCAATGGCCACTGAAATACAGAAACCTTTTCTTTTATTTCCTTTTTAAGAAAAAAAATATTGGCATCTGTTAGTTTGTAAACAACTATCAAACCCATCCCCTTCCTCTCTTGAACTACCTATGGTTCCCTCTCGTCTTCAGATTCACAACAGTTCTTTCCAGCATAGTTGTCAAGGTAACACCTAGGTGGGTGCCTAGGCGACAAGGCGCTCTTGGAGGCTCGCCTCGCCTAATCGCCAAGCAGTTTTGTGGATTGTGTTATGAAATGCTTTTATATTCTTAATTTTTTGAGATTATAATTATATAGACATTATTAAACTAAAATATTTATTCTGTGTGTTTATATATTAATTTCTTATTTGTTAGGGTTTAATCAATACATACATTGCTAAATGCTACTGTATTGAACCTTCAAAGGCTTCAAAATCTGAACCAATAAGTAAGGAAGAACTAAAAAATTTCTCTAATCAACACATTCTTCCATCTTTTCTTTTCTTGTTTCCCTATAACAAAAAAGGGCTTCAGCCTCTATATTTTTTGAATTTTATTTTCTTTCTTCTTTTTGTTCTAATGAATATGTTGATTTTCTATATTTTAACATGAACTTTATACTTATGAAAATTCTGGATGATTATTAAGAAAATATGGTTATGGAACCTAGGGAACTATCCTATGATATATGTTCTTTACTTAAAAAAATCCATTGCCTAGGCGACAAGGCACTCCTCTGTCGCCTAGCCTTGCCTCGGCGCCTTGAAAACTATGCTTCCCAGGTTTCAAGATCTCTTGGGTATGGCCAAGCTCATCCCTGCTTGACCCAGAAACAAATCAATTCCTTCAGAAATCATATTCCTCTTAGCAACAAGGTAAGTTTTTCCCTCATTCTTTTAATTTCTTTTATTTTTCATTAAGTTATATGATTAACACATATCTGTGAAGCAGATCTACAGCACAGACTAGGCATGGTGGGGCTCTCTGTTGAATTCTTCATAGTTCATTCAAAACATACTGGAGAAGAAAGGAGACCGATGCAAGATGATCAACAGCTTCTACTCTGGGGATTATGGTCATATATTTAGTGGAAGTTAAACTCTTAGGCTATGGTTTAAAGGAAAAGATAGGGAAAGGAAGGGAAAGATATCAAAACCTATACAAGGTTTGTACAGGTTTCTTTGCCTTTCCTTTCCTTTCCCTACCTTTTCCTTCAAACCAAACATAGCCTTAGGTAAATCACTTCCTCTGTCTCCACAATGAAACCACCAGCAGTGGTGAAACACCATCAGCTAATATAGTAACTTTGATACTGTAATGGTTTACTCAACTTGAATTCCATTGCAATCAGAGTTTTGACAATATCATTTAGTACTTCTGTTAAGAATGGAGAAGTACCCAACATGGAACTTACAAAAATCCTGCCTAAGACATTGGCATGTCGGGAAAATACTCTAAATGGAATACTGTATTAATACTCCAACTAAGAATGAAGAACCTGCATGAAAACTCCCAGTTCAATGAGCTCTTCTAATCGTAGGTTCAATGGAGCTGGTTCCAAACTTCCAATATAAAAGATTCGATGGAATTGTGGAGATTCAGACTAATGGAATTCTCCAATCAACCAACAAGACAAATTACTTGGTTCCTTTCTGGTTCAAAGAACTCTACTCACAGGACTGCTTTCTATTTCTCTACTGTTCCTGAGTACCTGAAGATTGAACATTGGAAAGCATGACCTTGCTTTCAGAAGTGCTATAATGACAACAAAGAATAGTTTTCAAGGTGCAAAGGTGAGGCTAGGCGACAAGGGGGTGCCTTGTCACCTAGGCGATAGATTTTTCAAGTAAAAATCACATATCCTAGGGTAGTTCCCTAGGTTCCATAACCAAATTTCTTTAATAATTATCCATAATTTTCATAAGAAAATTATAAACTTCATGTTTAAGTCTAGAAAATCAACATATTTATGAGAAGAAAAAGAAGAAAGGAAAGAAAATTCAAAAAATATAGGGGCTGAACCCCTATTGTTGTTATAGGAAAAGAAAAAAAGAAAAGGTGGAAGAAGAAATGTGTTGATTAGACAAAATTTTAAGTTCTTCCCTTACTTATTGGTTCAGATTTTAAAGTCATTGAGGGTTCAATACAGCAGTTAGCTATGTTTGTGTTGATTAAACCCTAACAAATAAGAAAATAATAAAAGGAAATTAGTTTATAAACACAAAAAAATGAATATTTTTCTTTAATAATGTCTATTTTATAATTATAATCTAAAAAATAACAATATAAAAGTATTTTATTACACAGTATGCAAAACTGTTTGGCGACTGGGCGAGGCGAGCCTCCAAGGGTGCCTTGTCACCTAGGCGTTGCCTTGACAACTATGATAATAGCATTCATTCTCAACTAGAGACAACAAGGACAAAGAACGGTTAAAAACTTATGGGAAATTGGGCAAGTAGATTTTTATGCATGTAAACCAGTCACCATAGCCTTCTTCAATTCCTAACCAGACAACAATTCCTCGAGTCATTCACAGTATATTAACAAAACTAGGAACTTGGAAATATCCCCTCATTTAAAAGACCACAAGAAAGTCAAGAGGGAGCAGAGAAAATATATGAGAGAACCTACTGAAAACAGATCAGAAGAACCACAGAGAAAGCCTGAAGACTGTTACACATCACCAGCATCATTTTCTAAGCCAGCCAACCTGTTCGAACTTTAAAATTACATAGAGTAATATGTCTAATAGGTCTAGGCAATAAAAAGAAGGTGAAAAACATTGAATAGAATATCAAAACTTTGGTAAAATTACATGAAGTTTGATTTCTAATGTCTGGAAATATGGATTAAACTTTGCATGCCTCAATCAGAAACAATTGCAGCATCTGATAGTTCCAATCAGATTATTCTTTTAATTTTCTGAAATTTTGCACCAGAAAGTTCTCAATAAATCATCAAATCTAATTGATTTAACCAAAAACCACCACCAAACAATCCCAAAAGAGTCATTTTTTTTTCAAAATCACTTCTCACACATAGATAGTTGGCTGTGCACATCATGATGCCAAAGAAGAAACTAGACTGAGTGAGCACACAGAAATCATAAAATATTCAAATTTAACAAAAGCCAAACAGAAGAAAAAAGCCAAGTAGAGGAAAAGGGTCCAGTGATCCCCATTTAAAGGGATAAGTCATGTGACGATAATGACTTGTGCCACATGCAAGGTAGAGCTGCATTGGCAAACCTGTATCAAAATTTTGCCTTCTGATCTTCCTTGTGTTATCATGTTTAGAGACAGAAGATTCCAGAGTTTTTCTCTTGGTAAAGTTTAAGGGCAATCATTATGCCAACTTCATAATATGCCAGAAAAAACATATTATCAAAGTTGAGTAACTTCCCCAGTGAGGCCCAAAGGGGGTGATGGAATTAAAAAAGAACACACTGAGTCAGACTAGGCAATTAAGCCATACTGTTTGATCCAAAGCAATCCCTACAAATAAAGAAAATAAATAGTAAAGCTAGAGATTCAAGATGGAAATCTTACAGCATCTTTAAATGCTTTAAAAGCTTTGTTTGGTAGATAAGCATATGTTGTACCACTATCCAGGACAGTTCCGTATTTTCCATCAAATATCTTTGGATTCAATTGCAATGGCTTTCCAGCCACATGTATTTCCTTCAGCTCAATATTGTAATATGGACTGTTATCATCCCAAAACTAGATTAAATGTGTCAGGTAAACACACTGTTAAGAAAATTCATATTAATGAGTAATGACTTCTCTAAGAGATTGTAATCAAATCATACCTACGCCCAGGGTCTGAATTGGAAAAGACCATGTCAGGGGGAGGAGGAAACCCACCAAGAACCATTGCACCCCCACCAACATCCATCCCACCATAACATAACGAAAATGAATCACTGATTATGCCCTTTTCAACTAGTTGGTCCACAATACTAAGTTGACCATGGCCCAACCCCATTATACCATCAGCATGTTGACTGTAAAGATCACCAGTTTCAATATTTTCACAGCCAAAAACAGCACGTTGGGGCATAAGCTCACTTTCATTGCCAAAGGATATAATGTCCTCACCGAGCACACCACTGCTAGAGCTCATTTCAGCATATTGTCTCTCATAGGTGCAATATACTCTATCATCGTCACAATAACAACCCACATTGCATTTTACAGGTTCGTAAGTGCTTGACAAGTCTGGCTGAAACCTTGGATCCTGCATGACACCCACACACATTAAAACAAAACCAACAGCTCTTAAGGAAGAAACAATATCTTCATGTAAATTCATTCAAGTAATTAAGTTAATAAGTCAACATCTCTTAAGTTACATTATTCTTCTTTAACATAAGAAATGGCCTGATAGATGGAAAGGGCTTATGCAGCCATGATCATGTGGGTGGGTAGGTGAATGAAGATGCACACTTTTTTTTAAGAGAAAAAGAAACTATTACTTGAAGGTAGGGGTGCAACACGGGGACTTCCCAGGAGGTCACACATTACTACAATGAGATATGATGATTTAATAGGTAATTAGTATCTAATCAGATAAACAGATGACAGATCTGGTCACTAAGAAACCACAAATAATTGCACACAAAAAAATAAAAGCACCAATTGCTAATTTTCCAAGATCTAAGATCATCCAACATTATGTTGATAATGTCTAAATTTTTACTAATATTTTTCATGAAATATTTCTATTTCCACAAATACTGACATGCAGTATCACTGGAATATATCTTGACATATTCTTCAGTGCTTCAAAATCTTTTATGGTGTTCTCAACAAGTTTTAATTTATGAATTATATCTCTTTAAACCCATTATTTTTTCCAAGTTTATCATTGTAGATGACTTTTTCATTCTTATTTTCTTTCATGAAATATTTGTAATTATACATAATAATAAAGTATAGTTGATTTTTTTTTTTGAGCAAAGGTAAAGCGTATTTGTATTAATCAAAAGGTCCTTTGTACAATGAGAAGCTGTACAAAAACAAACCAGAAGGACCTCAAAAAAGGCCATCCTAAAAAAAGTACAATCAGATGTATCATCTTTAAAATCTGTATGTATAGACAACCAACTCCTAACAAACCCTATGGCCATGTTGATGACCTCAGCTTCAGAGGAGACCTTGTGATAAAAAACCCTACTATTCCTTTCAAGCCATACAGCCCAGATAATTTCCAAAGGAATGGAGCACCAGCAAACCTTGTCTTTCTTTTTCATCTCTAGTCTATTCCATGCCTCCAAGCATGCTTTAACTGAGGCAGGTATGCACTAACATAACTTCAGAATCTTTATAAAGTAGCTCCAAATCTCTGAGACAAATTTGCAGTGTAAAAACAGATGATTAACTGATTCCGTTTCCATACTACAGAGGCTACCCCTCAGGTCACTGCAGTTAAAGCCTCTCCTCACCAGCATTTGTTATGATTCCTTTGCCCCACATTGGTAGTATGGGATGCTAATGTGAGATATCCCCACATCAGTAGAATGGGATGTTGTTGTGTGATATATATGTGCTTGGGTTTCCTCCCTCTAACAGCTAGCTTTAGGGGTGAGTTCTCCTAAGGCACGTATCAAATGTCAAATGGTATTAGAGCCTACACTATGCCATGCCTCCCAGTTGCAATTGTGCGGCTTGGGCGGTGACGTCGGTGTTGGGTTGAAGTCTCTTTATGTATGAGTGTTCGGCTGATAAGAGTTCTTATTAACCTATACTTAAGCTTAAGTTATCCTGTACTGGGCCTGTGTTAATGGGCCTAAGCCTGTTTAATGTTTTAAGTTGTCTGGGTGTCCCATCACTAATCAGGGGCATTCCAGTAATTCCTTGTATCATTGTACTACATTCTAATATAAATAACAATATTGTCGACTGAGCTATTCAGTTCGACATTCACAGTATTTCAAAGGTCTTCTTCTCTTCTCTACTACTTCGAATACAGCTCCTAAGCTCACAGTCGGAATTGCAGTGTTCAGCAGGGACTAGGTGGACTAGTGCAAAGCTAGCCTGCGTCGGTGCCAGGACTGTGGAGCGTGGTGGAATGTTACGATTCCTTTGTCCCACATTGGTAGTATGGGATGCTAATGTGAGATATCCCACATCAGTAGAATGGGATGCTGTTGTGTGATATATATTGCTTGGGTTCCCTCCTCTAACAGCTAGCTTTTAGGGGTGAGTTCTCCTAAGGCACGTATTAGCATCTCTTTGGAAAGGCATTTCTCTAAAGCTGCCACCCATAGAAAAAACTTAACTTTTGATACATATATAACTCATAACTTGTATATTAGATAAAATAATAAATAACATGTATAACTATAATATCAACAACTACTATATAACCATTTTTTATACTCTTATGTTTATCTTAAGAGGATAAAAAGACCATCTTGGAATGGTGTAATCATTTTAAAAAGATTATCTTATTACTTTATAATGATAAAATTATTTAAAAGAGTAAAATTATGTTATTTTTATAATTACTCTATATGGAATTTCCAATATTCTGACATTTCTTGTTTTTAAGTGGTCAACATTTTTACCAATACCAGCATTTTAAACCTTGTGTATGTGTGTGTCAGTGAGGAAGAGATGCAATAGTTAAAAAATATAACCAAAAGAATGATATGAGTCTTCTTACAACTCTAAAGATGATAGAGAGTTCTCGTAATATTTTCCATGAAATAATTAATTCCTTGGAAATCATACTGGAAAAGTACTGAGCATCTATTCTGGGTCAATAGGAGATGGGAACTCCCTACAAGTTGAGCTGTTACTGCTTCTACATTAGGGAGGAGAGATCACTAGTCTCAAGAATGAAGAGCTTGTTAACATGGATTAGAAGGTCAGATGATGAGGTAGCAAATTCCTTGGTGACAGAAGGGGTTAAAAGGGCTTATTTGCATTGAAGAGCCAGCCCATAAGGTAGACTTTGGTTGGACCTGTATGAAGTGTTAGGTAGCTGGGCCAATGGCTCATCCTTCCTCCTTTGAGGTAGTGTAGTATACCATTGTACCATATTATTAGTTACAATCAATAAAGCCTCTTTGATTTGTTATCAGTCAAAGGATAAAATAAATAAAGTGATGTTCTTATATAAAAGGAGATCTACTACAGCTTGCTATTTGCAAATGATACAGTTTTGATTGCTGATAGCAGAGAGTGTAAAGTATAATACAACTCAACAAAACCTTACCTCAATATTGATTAAAAAATCCCAAGAGTATACCTAATTTTCTGGAAAAATAATATGTTCTCAACTCAACTCAACCCAGCCTTAAGAAGCTACATTTGGCAATTGTACCCTTAGATTCACAAGAATGGGATACTCTGAAGTTCTAACCAGTCAATAAACCAAGTAACTATGATAAGAAATGAACACATTGTGGTTTTAGGTAGTGAAGCAAGATTTTAGGTTGAGGTTTTTTAACAGTAGACAGAAGCTTAGGCCGTTGCAAGGGAACAGGACTCAAGTAGCGCACTCCAGGGTTTAAGTCGAAGCAAATACGAAATATAGAAATAAAAATGGAAAAAGAGAATAAGATACAAGAATTCGAACGATACCAGATCAAGAGAACAAGATATCAAAGTCTACCCAAGACGCCAACAACATGAAACCATAATAAGATTCTAAAATAAACGTACCTGGTGCTTGCCACACTGTTCGCATGTAGAGCAAGGAACATAAGTAACACTACTCCCCGAATCAACAATAAGAGCGAATTCCTGAGGAGGCGTTCCGATCCAAAGACGGGTCGTGTAGTAACTGCACAGAGCAGCTCCACACACAAACTAAATTCAATTGACGAGAACCAGAGATTAAAGTTAATTAATCAATGTAAGTACTAGACAATCGCTAAGTCGACAAAATAGATAAAAACCACAAGTTTGCACCACAATTAAGAGGAGGTGAGAGAGGAGTTACCCATTTGAAAGGAGATCGTCGTAAAGCCTCATGTGGGCGTTAGAGGGTTGATGCTCTGCCGTCTGCAGCTGTCGACGGAACTTTCCCTCGACGAACGTCCGAGAGGAATTGGGAAATGAGAGGAATAGCGGCAAAATAATCGAGGGACCCCTGCGACGGCCGCTGCCATGGAACGATCGACGGTAATTGTCGGGATCTCCACGAACTTCCAACGAAGAACAGAAAGATGAAAATGAGAGATAAATAATTCCGATAGAAGACAGCATGAGTAAGGCTGAGACCACTCGAAGCCGTGCCCGTTCCATGGCCCCTCTCTCCGGGACATTCGAGAGAGCACCGAATATTTTGAGGAGAACGACGACTACCCAAGACTAAAAGACGATCGAAAGCTTGGAATAGACAAAAAGAAAAGTGGAAAGAGATTAGTGAAAACCACGAAAGAATTAATTCCTTTCTCCTTCCTCTGTGCGTGTCCGGGAGAGAGAGAGCTCTGAATTCTCAGATGGTTCGACTTTTCAACCTTCCCGTCACTAGCTGAAGCAACGGAGCTGTCAGATCGCTGCAACAAGGACGACTTGAATTTTATACACTGATGAGGAGTTTTGATTGGTCAAAGCTATTCCAGTATCATACCTTTCCGGCATTCGGTGGCGGGAGACTACCTTGCGGTTTGTCTGTTTGGAGGATGATGATGCTCCTTCTTGTTGGCGGGAGACTACCCAAGCGTTGTTCTATGATTCTATCCCGTTCCCGCGGCTCACTCTCACTAATTTTCTTTTGTTGGCAGTTTGGTCTGTTGATTGAGTCTAAATCTCCACTTTGTTATGTTTATACATCACCATGTTTTCAGCTTTTATTGCCGCTTGTTTTTCTCGCTTGTACTAAACTTCAGAACTATTACCGAATGAATTTTGCCTTCAGCCTTTAAAATAAAAAATAAAAGGGAAATTCTCTAAAACTCACCGTTAACTGACCATGTAACTAAGTTTTTATTTTTCAAAACTCATTTTCTCTTAGTGCATCCTTAATACTTCTTAAAAGAGGTGTCCAAGTCAGCATAAATAATAATTTTTATGATTAAATTATACTTGAATGGCATGTTAGAGGAAAAATGGTCTTTTTAAGTTTTCAAATTTCTTTTTTTTTTGCATTTTTAGTATTTTGTTATAATTTCCAATATTTTTTATAATTTCTGTTTTATTTATATTTTCTATTTTCTACAATCTATAAATTTTTCTGTATTTTTTGTTATTTATTTGTAATTTCTATATTTTTCTATAATTTTTTGGTGTTTTTCTACAATTTTTATTTCCTGATTTTTTTTTCAATTTCTATATTTTCTATAATTTGAAAATAATTTTTATTTTGTTTGCAATTTCTAAAACTTTTTATATTTTTTGTAATTTCTATCTTTTTTATGTATTTTCTATTTGAAAATATTTTTTGAACCTTTTCCATTTTTTATGTCTAAATATTAAAATGGTAATATATTAACACCCGTTAATTTATTTTGTATATATTTTATATTTTTCTATGAAGGTTAAAATGGTAGTATATTACCCGTTAGTCTGTTTAACGTCAAGTTAGTGATATGGTGAGTTTTAGACATTTTGCAAAGTTGTGGTGAGTTTAAGAGAAGTGCTAAAAACTCATGGTGAGTTTTAAACAATTTCCCAAAACAAAAATCAATATATAGATTTTGGTGTGTATGTTTCCGTTCCCCAAATTGATATGGTACGAAATATCCCCAAAAAACGGAAAAGTATGAAATAGTCCATTGCATTCTGAATTCCACTAGATACCTACAATAATTCAAAGGGAAAATTCCGGATAGGTACCCTATACTTTAGGCCGAGTGCCAATTTAGTACTTGAACTTTAAAACGCAAAAATCTAGTACCCGAACTTTCAATTTGCGACAATCTAGTACCCGACATTAACCAACCGTTAAGTGGCATGCAAAAAGACAAAAATGCCCTTCGGTCTACCATCTCCCCCGCCTTTAGCTACAGAGGCTTGTTCTCTCCGATAACAAATTCTCCAGCAAGATTCTTGATGGAATTTGGCCCAACCTCGACAACTTGGTTCAACTTGATTTGTCATCAAACGAATTCAACGGATCTATCCTAGTTGATCTTGGCAATTTGAAATCACTTTCTAGGACTCTAAACCTCTCCTTCAATCATTTTTCCGGCGAGATCCCAAGATCACTTGGCAGACTGCTGGTGACAGGAAGCTTCGATCTCAGGCATAACAACCTCAACAGACAAATCCCTCATACCGATGGTAAGATTACTTGGCAGACTGCCGGTGATGGTATCTAATACCAATTCAAAGAAAGGGCTAAAACTAGGTTTGATAATATTAATTGTCGTTGCAGATGCCGCTGAAGTCGCGGTCATTGGTTTGCTCATCGTCTACATAACGAAACTGATTATGCAAATGCTTCATTACTAGTCCTGCCGGCCACCCAAATGACTACTATTCCACTGGGATTTAAATCTGGGATACGGCCAGCAACTATGGTGAGAGACTACTTGGTGATGGTGATATGGAGTTAAATCGAAGATGACGATTTGATGGTCGAACTTCCACTCCAACTTGGTGACGGTGATCAAACTATAAACAGGGGACAGGGGGTGGCATAGAGAGAGAAAGAGAGAACAATGAGAATGTGGAAGAGAAAAAGGGAGGTAGAAGAAACGATAGAGAAACCATCGCGGGTTCAGATTTGCCACTGGAAGTTGCAATAGCAAATAGAAGTTGAGGAATGCAGAATGGGTTCAGATCTGTCGTCGCTCTATTTCTTTGTGAAGAAGATGAACAGTGTTTGAAAATGAATTCGGTGATTTGATGGTGGAAGAAGAAGAAGAGAGGAGGAGGAGAGAAGGGTAAGAGATTGGACTGAGAGGGGTGTCGTTGCCGCTACAACTCTATTCGAATGAAGGAGAACAGGAGTACTGGAAGAGAAAAGATACCGACAATTGAAGTTGTACATCCCGGTGGTGGTGAGGAGATTGGGTGAAGGTGGAGGACAGAGGTATAAAGAATTTGTAGCGGAGATACGACTGATAGCACCCCAATATTGTAAGGTTAAGGGCTTATTACCAGGCTGCTAATGAAAAGCTTCTTCGATGGCAATGTTGGGTGGAACCGGGCCTGGCCAAAGCCATTGCTGCAAGCATTCTTTAGTGCGGAAAAAAATGTTTGGCTGGTGGTGGATGGAGGCTATACCTCCATCAAGAGATTTGGGTTCCCGGAACCTAATCTTCATTTTCTTGAGAAAGAAGATAGTGAACAATGTGTGGGCTCTATTTCATTTTCTTGATAAAGAAGATGATGAACAATGTCCAAGGGTAATTTTGATATTTTTAAAAGTCAAATCACACATGAGGTTACGTGATATATAACTGACGATCTATTAATGGTAGGTACTAGATTGTCGTGTTTTAAAGTTCGGGTACTAAATTGGCACTTGGCCTAAAGTACAAGGTACCTATCGAGAATTTTCCCTAATTCAAAATGTCAAATACCTCCACCTTAAACACCAATATTAGTTGTGCAATTGTATCAATCCCGATCTAGCACCTATCCCAATTGTACGGTGGGGTTAAGAATTCTGATGTGGGCTGAATAGTCATTCTCCCAAAAAATGAAAAAGTAGCACCTATAACACCTTTTTCATAGCCTGTTTACATTCATGCACAGGGAATATCTTCTTAATTTATGGTTTTTTTTTCATGAGAAGGGTGTAAGGGACTGTGTGAATGATGTGAGCACGGTCTTGTAAGGACCAAATCCGATTTCTTTGATGTTATTATGCTTGTGAGTTGTGGCAATGAGTTCGGATGTCTTTCCAAAAAAGGGTAAATTGCTAAAACCTCCACTGAAGTTTCTGGTTGTTATTGAAATATCCCCTGAGGTTTAGTGATTGTAATCACCTTTCAAACTTTATTACATAGTTGTAAATAGATCCCCTCTGTTAAAATCCTCTAAAACGATGTATGAAAATGTCCAAAATACCTATGCAATTACTTTTGAGCAAAATGTTTATTTTTCAAATTTTTTCTTCATATGAATTGCTACCCCAAACCCTTCCAATCTCTTTTCTAAAATTGATTTATTTTTCAAATTTACCCTTCATATCAATCGCCCAAAAGTAAAGCTTCAACTTTAAATTCTCTTTTTTTTGTTGTTTATAAAGTTTGTATTATTATTTTTTTTGTAGAAACCAGTCTCAATAGTAATTGCATGGGTATTTTGGACATTTTTGTGCCTCTTGTTAGATGATTCTAATAGAGGAGGTCTACTTACAACTATGTTAAAAAGTTCAAGGGAGATGATTGCAATTACCAAAGTTCAAGGGAGGTTTTAGCAATGATCAAAAACTTCAGAGGAGGTTTCAGCAATTCACCAAAAAAAATGTTATCATACATGGTGGGTTCTTAAGTGATCATGGCCCAATCGGGCTTTGCATTTATGATAAAGGATATATCTTAGAATTTGGATTTGTTCCTCGGAAAGCATGCCTCACACCAATCTCACAATGCATCATAGTCATGCATTGGGAACATCTTTCCATGAATGATAATATCAACTATGGGGGATGTCCTTGCTGCAATGCATTGTGAGATTGGTGTGAGATGTGCTATGTGAAGAGCAAATCCAATCTCTATATTGTAGGATTGGGTTGAGTTTGATTTTCAATCTATATTTTTATATATGAAATATTATATTATATACAATATTATGTTAAATGACATATAATATGTATATATTTTTATTTTATACATTAGATAATATAAAATATTATATATAATACATGAGGTGGATTGAACTTTAAATTTCCTATATATATATATATAACATTAAATAACATATACACATATGTATACACTAGTAAGCGTGCATGTGCTTTGCATGTAGCAATTCTAGACAATAATAATGATAGTAATAATGTTTCCAAAAATTTTTATGAACTTTATGTATTTTTTAATTTTTTTGTTTCTTATTATTAATTGGATGCAAATTGCAAAATTGAAATCTAATTACATAAACACCACATCCAAATATGTGATAATCAGATTGGGTTGTGAAGTTTCAAGTATTATTGTTTTTGTAATATTTTATCTTTTTGGTATATCTTTTTTGTTCATTTATAAAAAAATGTAAATTTTAAATAGATGTATTGAATGGGGTGAAAAGTAGTAGTTCAATTTACAATTTAAACCTCACAATTAAATAGGGACTAAATTAAAAAATGAATATTATAGCAAAAAGAAAGTTCTACAATCTTATTCACATTTAGTAGTAGTGTAAATATAGAATTATAGATGTGTTCAATTTTTTCTATTTTTTTTGTATTTTTATGTGTAAAAATAATTTTGATATGTCACACTTACTTTTTATTAATATGATAATTATATGATATTATACATGTGCCTGAATG